TACCATGAGAAGATTAGCGGGGGAATTTAAAATATAATTTTCATTTGAATATTGAGGGTAAAATGGTTTCGGATCTCTGGTATTAAGGTTATTTATTTTTAAATTAATCAATGATAACAATTACGGACAATCAATAACGCCAAATAATAATTTATTAAGAAATTTTGAAAGTAGAAGTATTCGACGTTCATTAAGTGGTAAAAGATATAGAAAATGTAATACGTTATTATAAGAACTGTGGAGAGGCCTGTATATATTAAATTTAAAGGAAATGAAACGTATAAAATTATTTTGAACAGATTCTAGGGAAGAATTTTGTTTTGAGGTATTATTTATATAAATAAGAGTGCAGTATTCTAGATGGGGACGAACAAGGGAGCAATATAGGATTTTTAAGGGAATAGGATCTATGAATGAGCCACAGGTGCGCTTAATAAAACCCAAGTTACGCATAGTCTTCGCATATTCTTTATCATTTCAGTGTGTGGGGAAAAATTTAATTTATAGTCAAAAATAATGCCTAAATCCTTAAATTGAGATACAAGCTCAATATTTGAAGCGGAAATAGAATAATTATAGTTAATTGGATTTTTTATTAAATAAAACTGCATAAATTTACATTTATCAATGTTCAAAGATAAGTGATTCCTATTACACTATGAAAGTAGGTTATTAATGTCAGATTGTAAATCAATCGCACATTGTTCAATTTTAATTATTTTTATTAATTTAGCATCGTCAGCAAACATAAGGATATTAGAAGTGGTTATGACACTAGGGAGGTCATTAATAAAAATATTAAAAAGAAGTGTAGATAAGTGGTCACCTTGATAATTACTTGGGTTTTTAAGACGTTGCACGATTTCCATGAGATCATTCTTAACCATGTTGGTGGGATAAAAATCTTCTTGTTTTGAAAGTATCCAATTTACGATATCCGCCTTTTTCCAAGTTGGAACATGACAGCCATGGCATTATCCTTGAGAAGAGAGTGAGGAGACAGTATTTTTTGAAACCAGTCTTTAAACGTTTGCCTGTTCATTTCGTCAAGGTAATTAGACGAATTTTGTTTTGATTCAAAACACAACAATCCTAACCATCTGTAGACACAATGTGGAGTATGATCAAATGCTTTCCTTTACCTGTTGGATTTGGCTTTCGGTCATAAGCCCCTCCAGGAATGCCATCCTATGGGATGTGATAGTTTGATCGACCCACACTTTGTTGGAACAGTCTCCTAAATTAATCCACGTCTCATCCAAGTAATATATAGGCCTTAGTTCCTCTCGGTATTGACGAATTGTTCTTAATTAATGTCTGCGCCAACTAACCAGGTCTCTCCTTTCTATAAGAATACTATTTCTTTTTCGTTTTTGAAACTTAAAATTCAAACTCTTCAATACGGTATTTAAAGAAGTTTTTTTCATGTTGGGCAAAGTCTCATCTTCATTTATTACGGTTAATATCATATGTAATGTTGGCAGTTCTTTGTTTAGCCAAAATGAGTGAACTTTCCTTCATATTGCGTTTTTATCAAAGTCATCTATTTTGTCAACAATAACAGACTTCTGATCTTTTCGATTGGGCGATTTCACACATTTTGTACTTTTATACTCTATAACAGTTATCCATTTGTATTTTTAAATAAAAATCATCATGAGATTGTATGAGTTATTTTAAATTCTAATCAGAGATAGTGAACATGTACCACGGAAAATCTAGTCTTCTGACATCATTGGAACTGATTTGTGAGAAACTATAGCACCCTTGACCATTATCTACAGACTTATTTTCTCGAAAAGCTTTTACTTGAAATACATATGTGTCTATAAGTTTCTGCCGCCTCTTACACACATGTTTGCGATCGGAAAGGATGCCCACGTCGATGAAGATTAATGCGTTTACCACCATTTCATCCGGGAGTAAGTCAAAAAGTGCGTTATGATGTAAAAACAATTCTTTCATTATAAATATAATTGGTTAAATTTCTATAAAAATATGTTGCTGATATCGAAAGAAAATAATTTTGAATTTATTTCCAATGAAATATTTTAAACAAGTATACTTACACAAGATAAGAGAATACGTCGTAGCAATATATGTTAAAAAAGTAAAAATCCATGACTTTATATGAGACTTATCATTATTTATTATTTAATTTACCAATGATTTTGCTTGTTGTACATCTTTCATTTCGTCTAATTGTCAATGATATAATATTATGCTCATAATAATTATCGAGCTACCATAATATCTTTGCAAAACCTAATTAATAAAAAAAAATATTACACTCGATTGTACTTATTATCGGACTCGATACTTATAAATCATGAATATAATTCCGGACAATGAATTATAATATTCATTGTCCCGAATCGTTTTTGTGATTAATTGTCAATGTTATTTATTCAAATTTAATATGATGAGCTTGGTCAATTTATTAGGAAAATTCCAATAATTAAAATTTAAAGTGTGGCACGGCTGATTATATATTATGTCATTTTGGTTTTCTGTCGTAGCAGATTACCAAAAACCAAATTTTAGATGCAGCTCAAATTCATGTTTTTAATATTTTTGTAAAGATAAAACAATATGTGCACTTAACCCTTCGTTTGGTAGGTCGGGTCTATCAGACCTGAGCATTTTTAAAATCGATAAGAAAGTTATGTTAATCATACTGTCATACTTGATATTTTCAATAGCTATAGTCAATATACCTATCAACCATTTGTTGCCATAGTTAGTTTTTATTTTTCACTATCAGTATCATTTAAATAAGCTCGAAAACGAAATGGGTTGTAGACCCAACCTATTCACTCACGTAATAAAAAACACGAATTCCTGTGTGACGAATTTTTCGGAATCCGTCGAATGTAACTATTTTATTGTTTAGGTATAAATATGCCGACTTTTAATAAAGAAGAAATAGATAAAATATCAGAGGAACCTATGGTTGACTTTGATTTTGGTGACGAATGGGATGATGAAGCTGCAGATCCGGATTTTCAAATAGATAGTGACCACAATAAAGACTCCGAGGAAGACTGTGACCCCTCTGAATTATTAGCGTATTAAGCGACGAGGCTGCGCATAGCATATATAGCATTTATTTTGTACTCATTTCTTACCGGTCCGATGAAGAATAGAATCAGTATATACAGCCATTGAGACGTCATGTTTGTTGTTAAATAATAGTCCTGTTTTATTGCAACTGAAAATGTATTATTTGACAAGAGCGTTATAATTTTACTATTGTAATGCTATAATTTAACAGTCGTCATCATTTTTTTGGTATCTAAACCACGAGCGGCGATTTGATGTATTTCTCTCTTCTCGGGACTTCGGTACAAAATCTCACTGGACGAATTCATAAATATCCGAGCCCTATTTATGACTAAATATCGAAAATAGATTTTACGAAAATCTCGTACATAGCAAATTTCATCATAATTCAAATAACCAAAAGTTTAAATTTTCATTACGCTAAAACTTATATTTTATCTGCATTTGTCTCCTTCACTTGTGTCATGATAATAAATAACTTAATAATGTTTATTAATTTTCAGCCTATTGGAAGTGGTCAGAAATTGATTATTATCAACCACTACAAGTCGGTATTGAACAGTGGCGTTGAGATGAAGTTTCGTGAGCTGATACCTCATATTTCTAAAACCCTTGAAATTGGTTACCATTAGAAGATCAAGTGATTGAACTGATTGTTTTTTTTACGGTTGAAGAAATACCACAAAAAGAGCGTTGAATACTGGATGATTCAAATTTTGATGGGTACACAGGCTGTTTTTCATCCTATAAAGACTTAAGCCGCTGTCGCACGATAAGAGTAGTTCGAGATAGTTGCTGTCGTGAAAGAATATGATAGTTTGCTATCACTGTCACTACCTGTTCACACGCTTTCCACACGCTTTCTTGTATGAAAGTAAATTTCACAAAAATATGATAATCGTATATTATACAATATTATAGGTATATTATATTTATAAAATATAAATTGTTCTGTCGTTCTGCGTTCGTACTTATTTCTATAATAATTTTAAAAAGTTATACTGTTCTGTAAACTATTTTTTTCATTGGCTATTAATTTATTTTTAAAATGTCTACCGACGAAGTGGAACTTGCCATTGTGCGTGTTATTGAGGAACTAATAAAATTAAAAAGGGGAAATAAACACGTAGCTAAAGCTAATAAGAAAATGTGGGTAAAAACGTGGATACTAAAGAGGAATCAATTGGGAGTATAGAACACATTGCTAAGAGAACTAGCACTCGAAGACCATCAATGTTATTCTAACTTTTTGCGAATTAATGAAGATATGTGCAATATTTTATTTAGCATTCTATGTTAGTGTTAGTGTTAGTACTATGTTTAACATACTTTGTTAGCATACTTTGAATTTTTTCTTTTAAAAAAATTGATTTTTCTAACGATAACTTTTCCAATTGGGCTGCGACATGCTGTCCAAGAATAAGAAATTCATTTGTTATTGACTTTTGTTCACAAACAAATTTGAGTGTATTAACTGCTTTATTAACGATTCGTCATAGAGTGAAACTTTAATTGTTGTTAGGCCACTTTTTTTTTAGTGCATGATGTATTTGTTTCAGGTATGTTTGCTTCAATACCTTCAACACTTTCAACAGCTCCTGTACCTTCAATACCTTTATTCAATATCAAATTTGGGGTTTCAAGTTCTTCAACTTGAATGTTTGTACTATCATAAAATGAAATTGCCTAAAATAAATAAATAATAATATATTTATACTAATTATAAAAGCTTTAAATATTTAATTTATATAATCAATTTTTTAGGTTCCTCTTGAAAAAGCAAAATGGAATAAAATTGTCAATGATTTTGACAATCTTTGGAATTTTCCGCAATGCACAGGTTTTGTTTAATCATCATGTACGGCTATGAGTCACAGAAAATAATATCATGTTTATGTTGTATGTTTACAGGTACCATTGATGGAAAACATATTGTCATGGTATGCCCATCAAATTCAGGCTCAAATTACTATAACCATAAAGGCACTTTTAGTATAGTTTTGCTTGCATTAGTTGGTCATAATTACAACTTTTCTTTCATCGATATAGGAAGTTACGGAAGCAATTCAGATGCCGGAATTTTTGCAAAATCTGCTTTGAAAAGAGCATTAGAAGAAAATAAGTTGGATATGATACCTGAAAGTGTAATTCTAGGAGAAGAGGCCTTTCTTTTACAAACTTATTTAATGACACCTTTTGCAAGAAGAAACATTTTAACAAAACGCGAAAAAATATATAATTACAGACATTGTCGTGCTAGAAGGATTGTAGAAAACGCGTTTGGAATATTTAGACAACCAATTCCGTTGTCTCCAGATAAAACAATCAAATTAGTTAAAGCTGCTTGTGCTCTACATAACTGGATAAGAAAAACTGTTAATAGTTCAAACCTTTATCAGTTGACATTGAAGATACTGAAACAGGAAGTCTTATAGAAGGTTCATGGAGAAATTATCCAAAACCTTCAGGTTTATTGAATTTAACACCTATTCAAAGGAATTATGCAACAGCTACAAATCAAAAGAAAAATTATTTAGCAGACTATTTTGTTGAAGAAGGAGCAGTTGATTGGCAAAATCGAATGATTGAATAATTAATAATATATATTTTTAAGTCTATACATATTTATACATAACTATATAACTTAATAAAAACTTTTTTTGTAACTTCTTATATCTTAAGATATTATATTATTAAAATAAAACTTAACAAATTTGAATCAGATTCTCTCTCTCCATCGTTATTTTTGTTCAAAAAGCTGTCAGAAAATGTAAACCAACTTAATTTTGGTACGTAAACATCATGTTTACCAGACCCTGTCACCATGGATGATCTTACTTTAGCCTTCTCTTGATTATATGTACATCTAAATCAAAAATATATCTTCTTCTGGTGTAACGGACACTAGGACCATCCCTCCCTCCAGCCGTCTCTGTCGGATGCTCGTTCTTTCCAATCTGATCCTCCACCTAAGGCACTTACATCTTTTTTAACCAGATCTTCCCATCTCATACGAAGTCTTCCCAAAGGTCTCTTCCCAACTGGATCTTTCTTTAACACTATACGTGGCAAGGGGTTCTGACTACGCCAAGCATGACCAGCCCACTTTAGTCTTCTAATCCTTATTATGTCTAGTATATTTGGGTTCTAGAAAAGTAGTCCTAGTTCATTATTCGTTCTTATCCTAGACTCATTGCAATTGCTATCTTTCATCGGACCATAAATCTTCCTTAGAACTTTTCTTTCCCAAACTATCAGCTTTCTTTCATCTTCCTTCCGTAGTGGATATGTTTCCGCTCCGTAAGTTATAACTGGGCGCAGTAATGTCATATATAGCTGTATCTTAAGCTCCCTCGATAACGATCTCGATCCTAAAAGTTTTGCTAGTCCATAGTAAGCCCTATTGCCGGCAAGTATCCTCGCTGATATTTCCTTAGCTATCTCATTCTTTTCAGTTATGACTGACCTTAAGTACGTAAACTGCTTGGCTCTATTGAAAATGGGTACACAACCGCAGTTTCTCGTCTGCCAACGACCATATACTCCGTATCTGTAGTCCTACTTTCGCTGCCATTCTTTGTAGACGGTCGAACAGTGATTTCAGTGCGTTTGGTGATTCTTCCATTAATACTAAATCGTCTGCGTACGCCAATAGGCCTATTGATGAGTCCTGCAGCTTCTCCTCTTCGTCGGGTCTAACGTTCATTGCTCTAATAACTTTCTCTAACACAATATTGAATAACACCGGTGACATTGAGTCGCTCTGTCTCAGACCTGACTTTATTAATATTGGCTCCGTTTGGCTACTTCCAACTTTGACTTTAATGAATGTCTCCATAATGCTTATCTCCACTAACTTTATCAATTTTTGTAGGAAGCTAAATTCTCTCATAATGTTAATTAAACTGTTTCGATGAATACTGTCATATGCTTTCCTGAAATCAATAAAAAGGATATGGATTTCTTTGTCAAATTCCCAAGTCTTTTGGAGTATCTGCCGAAGAACAAATATTTGATCCGTTGTTGATCTTCCCGGTCTAAAACCTCCCTGGTAGTCGCCGATAATTTCCTCCTCTTTTAGTTTTGATAAGACGAAGTTAAAGAATACTTTATAAGTCACATTTAAAAGAGCTATGCCTCGATAGTTATTACAATCTTGCCTGCTTCCTTTTTTATGGATCGGGCATATCGTAGCTGTTTTCCATTCCTCTGGTATTTTTTCTGATTTCCAGATCTGGTTTATCAGTTTCCCTATCTTAGTCAACAGTTCTTCTCCTCTATATTTCAGTAGTTCAGCTTAAACTTCATCCTCACCTGGTGATTTGTGATTCATAAGCCATTTTATCTGTAGCTTCATCCCTTCCCGCGTTGGTCGTTGGTTCTGGGCAATCTTGTTTATTCCAAGATTCTAGGTCGAAACTGAAGAATTCGTCCGGCTCGTCACAATTTAATAGCTCATCTAAGTACTTACCCCATCTTTTGGATACCTCCTCGCTCGAGGTTATTAGTGTCCCATCATCATTTTTTAAGAACTTCTCTTTCTTTTTATATCCTCTTACAAGTCGATTTATCTGCTTGTACATGTCTCTGGTTTTATACGATTTAAAGTCGAGCTCTGCTTTATCCAACATATCGCGGAGATATTTCCTTTTTTCACACCTCAATATGTAGGTTGAATCATTTGAATCAAAAATACATAAATATATAATATGAACTATTTATTAACTACCTATGTTCATTATATGTTATGTGTATGTCTAAATATGTATCTTGGATCAAAAATAAATAAAATGTTAGCTGTAAATTCAGTGTTGTAAAATACTCGAGTAAAAACATTCAAATATTTTTTAAGTAGGTACCTATTTACTCGAATACATATTTTAAATACCTATTTAAAATAGAATCTGTATCTGTACTTGAATAATTTGTAAAAAGTATCTTTTACAAGATTAGCATATGATATATTACCTATGTAACACATACCTAATACTCCTCATCTTTTGCCTCAGTTCTTTAATAGTTTTTAATTTAGTAAAAGCAAGTAGGGCTTCCTCAGCAGCATCGTGTTTGTGGCGCAGTTTATAATTTACTTCCTTCTTAAACCATAAACAAGAATATCTTTGATATTCCTCTAGAAAACTAGGTAAATCAAAATCTGCCATTTTGAAAACAATATTCAATATTACTAATTAAAATATTAATATTAATGAAAACTAAAAAATTCAATTCAAAAAACGATAAACAATATTGTACCATGACCGTTTCCCGTGATAGCGTGAATGTGATAATATGCTGTTCGCTATTACTATCACTCACATTCACTATCAACTATCGTGCATGCATGATAATGCGAGAGCCGCTTTCGCAATAGTTCGATAGTCACTATCAACCTGTTCACACTATGACACTCTCATGATAGAACCTTTCACGATAGTAACTATCGCGTTTTACTATCATCGTGCGACCGCGGCTTTATTTCCATTAGCAAAAATATTTACTGCAGATACAAAAACAACACTCATCATTGTAAAATAAATTTTTTTTTAAAATAGCAATATATAATATATTTATAAGATATATTTATAAGATTTAAAAAAAAAAATATGATTTTTTGATAACACTTAGAGGTAGTTTGTTCTTATAACACATGATTACAAATTGTTGATGATAATTTGCATTTTCTCATTATTTTATTGCAAGTATTAAATATTTTTAAACAAATATTATATACATTTATACATCTACCCTGGTAAGGGAGAACAAATGTTGTATACAAAACTGTCCAGGGTAACATAAATCTGGGTTTAGCATCCCGCAACGTTCCTTCAATGAATGGCAAGAAGCAATTGGAACATCTTTAACCAAAATATCAAGAATTTGTGGGGCTCATTTTTCTAAAAATGTTATTCACGATGCTTGGACTTCTGGTGAAGGTTCAAATAAGTATTCGGTAAGTTGTAAGTTTAATTTTTGATTATTATCATTGTCATAAAATACTTAGTATAGGTAATGCTAAATTATATCATTGATGTTTACTAAGTTTTTTGTACTATAATATATATATTGATATGCTTAAAAAAACCAAAATTAAAAGATGGAGCCGTTCCTAAATTACTTTTAAATGGCAATGCTGGAAATGTTGATACACCCATCACTCTCAATACCTCAAGTAGTTTTAATGTTGAACCTAGTATTCACTCTGTTTCAGAAGTTGTTGAAATCAAAAAATTATTAATATATACTATTATAAATATTTTTATTTTTTATTACCATATACATTTTTTATAAATAGCCTGAACAGTTAATTCTGGTCTCTGATATTAACTGAATACATGATTATTAATTAATATGGTCATAAGTCATAACAAATGTATTTGATATTATTTTCTCTGTTTAGCCAATAAGACTAATATGTATACCCTAGATCTTGTAAATAAAAATAATAATTATTTAATATATATTATATATTTTAGAATACTAATGAAAATATGGAATGGAGTGTATCTTCTGATATTAATACTAGTTATACATCTCAAACCGGCTGTTCGACTTTGTCAACTAATATTAATACAAATTCGGAATTATATAATCTTATATTAAATAAGAGTTATAACATAAAATTGCCATCTTGTTGGTTAAATGATCTTACAACTAATAAAAAACTTAAAACTAAATTTATATCATTTTTTAAATGGGATGTTTTCGCAACAGGTGTCAACGAATTGTTGAAAAGCAAATAGTAGTTACTGAAAGTAAGTATTATAAATACATAATAATTTGAACTAAAAGAATTAACACATATTTTATAATATGTTTTTAGAGTCTGAACTTATTATATATGTACTGGACGTACAGTTATCTCTTGAAGAAATAGAAATGTTTTATCCTTTTTCATATGTTACTTTAATAAAGCCCACAATTTTAGATATTGAGAAAATAATAAGTAACCTTGATAAAGCGTTTGTATGTTATGGTGCAGCCTTGGTTTCTCACTTTCCAAGAGTAAAACCATATTTTGGATTTCAGTATACTATGAGCAATGGTTATTGGAAACATTCAAACTGTAAAAAAATATCAATTGAAAATAGGTAAGAATAAGTAAACTGCAAATTGTAATAAACTATTATTATTGAAATCTGAAATTGTTGAACTTCTGTTTAGTGGTATGTGTTCATGGGACGATTGGTTATGTGTTCGAAAATGATATGTTCGAATAAAATGTGTTCGAATGAAAAGTGTTCGAAAAAGCATATGTTCGGATGAATTTTTGTTCGAATAGATAAACTCATTCTTAAAAACAAGCATATTATATTAAAATATTATTTATTTATTTATTATTTATACAAGGAAAAAAATTAAAAAATTATTTTAAAAAAATGTATAAATGTATAGGTATATCGTCAAATAAAATAAATAAATGTATATACGAGTATATTCAAGTTAAAAGTTTAAATTGTACGCAATGCCTCTTAAAAACTCAATGTTATTTTGATTACTATTTTTAAATCTTAAAACTAAATTTTTAATTCTTTCTTCGTGTTGTTGACGGGATACCTTTATTTATTTATTTTTTTTGCAATATTCTGCCTTGTATAAATTGTTCAATTAAGTTTTCGTTCTCGTTCTGCATTTTTGGAAGAAGTGTTATGAATTTATAAGCACCTGGATGTTTCGATATCAACCTGTACAATATTATGATATAAAATATAAAATGTATATATTCTCTATCAATTTTAAAATTACCTATTTAAACGACTATGCCAAAATTCAGTGATATTTTAGTAGTCCGTGGAAATTCATATTCAACTCGTTGTGCTACCGACCATAATTCTGGCGGATATAACGGGGGTCGTACTTGTGGATTTCGCCTGCGGAGTCTCATTGATCTACCAGTAACATACGTTGGTTCGAAGTAATCTATTAATTTTTGTTCTCATTCATCATTCGAAAATTCAGTTTTAAGCTGTTTCCAACTTTCATTGAAATAAATAAATAAAATATATATTTATTAGGAAAATGTGCGAAAATGTGTTGTTAATGATATTAACAATAATGCTGGGCATTCCAATTCGTGGTGTATACGTACTTTGGAAACTGGAAGGAAAGCCAATGCTGGTAAATGTCGACAAAGTAAGTTGAAGTTTTGATCTTCCATATACTTGGTTGTTAATCCTTCCTTTTGTATGTGACGATAAATATTATGCGAAAAGTGAAAAAAACATGCAGAATGCATTGCAAATAGAAAACATCATTGATAACGCTTAAGGTGGTTAAAATAATATTAAACAACCTTGTCGTATAAAGAAAATAAAGTGGACTGTATTTAATGTAATTCACAAGTTTTTAATTGAAAGTTTGGCACAAAAAATAATAATAGGAACGTTAGGTAACAGTATAAAATATAAATAGAAATAATAATTTAGGACCCGTCGGTCATTCACACACAAATATTCGGTCGACCAATACTCACATAACAGTTGAGACACACATCTGGTTTTACACCCACGCTACCGCACCAGGGCCCGTAGGTAGTCAATAAGTTACAATAAAAAAAAAAGTTGACCCTGCGTACGTGCGAATGTGTGCCAGCAACTGTTGACGATGAATTCACTAACAAAACAAATTGATGCAGCCGGTAATAGCAACACAAATCTCTGGTAATTTTGACCACCCTATACTGGGAAAAACAAATTAATGGTCGCAATAAAATTGCTGAGAACGATAATTACCAGAGGCTTCACAAGAGAATCACAAATTCACAACACGTGGTTTGGGCCGACTGCAAAACAGCTAACGACAATGATGACAATGGTTGTCAACCGTTCAGATGCGAGCACAAAAACGAATCGTAAAATAACGGATGAGCATAAACAAGAAAACTAAAAGAACGGTCTTTCAGTGTCACCACACTAAACAACAAATAATGGAAAAAACTATGAACTTTATGACACTGAAAGCATGACTATACGAAAAAAAACTTAAGTTTGAACATAACCGAATATAATGAAAACATTGATAATGATTCCACAGCTGGCCGGTCGCACACGAATGCCTGATAAGCATCCGCCGACAAAGGCTGCAACTGTGGAACGCACCGTTACGTGCACATGACAATAATAACATAAAGACAGAACATAAATTTGTTTGCAGCGCAAACATATCCCCCCCTTGAAAGGATGTGGTCCTTTCAAAGCTCACTAGACAAGATTTATTAATGATGCTGATTTCCCTATGACATGATTATATATAATAAATGGCATAGACCGAATAAATTCAGATAACATTATACAATATACCTACACGCACGACTTCTTCGAATTTCCGACGTTCATTAAATTTAATTGTATCACTCGTATATTTTCGGAATTATTATTATACCAAACCAGTTGAGCATTTACTTTCAGTCTGTGATCGACATTTTACGCGTTAACACGTATTTTCGTAAACTATTTTTTTCTGTACATACGTTTGTTTTTGTTTTAAACATGGACATTTGGTTGAAAAGTGGGTCTATTAATATGACGCCTGCTACGGAGTCATCTTGTTTTAATATAGAAGAAAGCATAACCAATGAAAACGGAGTTAATGATAATAGTCCTACTTCTCAAGGTATGAGTAGTACACTACCGCCCAATACTGGTGACTCTGTCCCAAGAACGTCCAAAAAACGTAAATACGATGAAAGTTTTTTGGAGATGGTGTTCATAGAAACAAACGATGGCCAGCCACAGTGCGTAATTTGTTCAAAAGTTTTTCCTAACAGTTCTATGTATCCCGGAAAATTACGTCTTCATTATGAAAAGGTCCACACAGATCATAATGGGAAACCACTCGATTTTTTCAAACGAAAGCGCTCTGAACTATTGGCTGTTAAAAAAAAAATAAAAAAGCACGTTCTAACCGATAATGAAAACGCATTGAAAGCTTCCTACATGGTGGTTACCGTATAGCTCAAAAAGGCGAAGCTCATACCATTGCGGAGACCCTCATAAAATCATGTGTTATTGATATAGTAACTTGTATGCTTGATGACAAATCTGCCAAACATTTATCCATAATTCCTTTGTCAAATAATACTGTTGCGCGGTGAATTAAAGATTTGGCTAGCAACGTATCAGAAACACTTGTCTCTCGTATTAAATACACAAAATTCGCACTACAA